TGCTACTGCCCCACATCTTGCTTTTGTTTCACCTCCCTCAGGACCAGCATCAGGAATCATAGAGATGGATGGAATCGAAGCTCGTGTGTTTTAAGGGAAGTACCTGTGCAGACGTAGGAAGGACAGAATTCCTAAGGTGTGGTTTCACTTGGCTTATGTCTTATTTTCTCCATTATTCTAGCTCCTTTGGGAGAATTCAAAGCCCTCTTGGACTGGCCCGAATTTAACTTCTTTGCTCAAATTTGCTCCTCCATCCTGCAGCTGAGTCAGAACAACTCACTTCTCTCTCTGACCCAGCAATTTCACACCTGTGACTCTGCATCAGCTGATCAAGTCATCTATTGCCACACTGTCTATATATGTTCAAATCCTGTGTCACTTTCAAGACCCAATAATTCTATCCCTTCTGTGACAGCTTTCCCTATCCTCTCAAGAAAGCCTATGACTCCCTCCTCCTCTTGCTCTGAGCTTTCTCCTATTTATCTCCTAAGAATTTTAGCACTTCCTGCTAAGTGCTGTGGTTGCCTGTTTATACTATACCTGCTCCTATTAGACTGGGCACATCTAGAGGATAAAGATTGTTAGAAAATATAAACCATAATTTAAAAGAACACATATATATATATGTATATATATATATATATAGTATATATGCTATATATGCATATATATATTTGTATATATAGTCAACAAAAACAAGATCAGGAGCTGACTATTGCTCAGATCATGAACTTGTTGCAAAATTCAGACTTAAATTGAAGAAAGTAGGGAAAACCTCTAGCCCATTCAGGTATGACCTAAATCAAATTCCTTATGGTTATACAGTGTAAGTAACAAATAGATTCAAGGGATTAGATTTGATAGAGTGCCTGAAGAGCTATGGACAGAGGTTCATAACACTCTATAGGAGTTGGTGATCAAAAACATCGCCCAGAAAAAGAAATGCAAAAAGGCAAAATGGTTGTCAGAGGAGGCATTAAAAATAGTTGAGAAAAGAAGAGAAGTGAAAGGCAAAGGAGAAAAGAAAAGATACACCCATCTGAATGGAGAGTTACAAAGAATAGCAAGGAGAGATAAGAAAGCCTTCCTCAGTGATCAGTGCAAAGAAATAGAGGAGAAAAATAGAATGGGAAAGACTAGAAACCTCTTCAGGAAAATTAGAGATACCAAGGGAATATTTCATGCAAAGATGGGCACAATATAGGACAGAAATGGCATGAACCTAACAGAAGCAGAAGATATTAAGAACAGGTGGCAAGAATACATAGAAGAACTATACAAAAAAGATCTTCATGACCCAGATAATCATGATGGTGTGATCATTCACCTAGAGCCAGCCATCCTGGAATTTGAAGTCAAGTGGGCCTTAGGAAACATCACTACGAATAAAGCTAGTGGAGGTGATGAAATTTCAGCTGAGCTGTTTCAAATACCAAAAGATGATGCTGTTAAAGTGCTGCACTCAATATGTCAGCAAATTTGGAAACCTTAGCAGTGGACACAGGACTGGAAAAGATCAGTTTTCATTCCAATCCCAAGGAAAGGCAATGCCAAAAAAATGTTCAAACTATTGCACAATTGCACACATCTCACACACTGGTAAAGTAATGCTTAAAATTCTCTAAGCTAGGCTTCAACAGTACATGAACTGAGAACTTCCAGATGTTCAAGCTGGATTTAGAAAAGGCAGAGGAACCAGAGATCAAATTGCCAACATCTGTTGGATCATAGAAAAAGCAAGAGAATTCCAGAAAAACTACTTCTGCTTCATTGACTATGATAAAGCCTTTGACTGTGTGGATCACAGCAAACTGGAAAATTGTTAAAGATGGGAATAGCAGACCACCTTACTGGTCTCCTGAGAAACCTGTATGCTGGTCAAGAAGCAAGAGTTAGAACAAGACATGGAACAATGGACTGGTTCCAAATTGAGAAAGAAGTATGTCAAGTCTATATATTGTCACCCTGCTTATTTAACTTAGATGCAAAGTACATCAGGTGAAATGCTGGGCTGGATGAAGCACAAGCTGGAATCAAGATTGCTGGGAGAAATATCAATAACCTTGGATATGCAGATGACACCACCTTTATGGCAGAAAGCGAAGAAGAACTAAAGAGCCCCTTAATGCAAGTGGAAGAGGAGAGTGAAAAATCTGGCTTAAAACTCAGCATTCAAAAAACTAAGATCATGGCTTCATGGCAAATAGAAGGGGAAACAATGGAAATAGTGACAGACTTTATTTTTTTGTGGGGGGGGGGCTCCAAAATCACTTCTGATGGTGACTACAGCCATGAAATTAAAAGATGCTTGCTCCTTGGAGGAAAAGCTATCACAGACTTAGATAGCATATTAAAAAGCAGAGACATTACTTTGCTGACAAAGGTCTGTATAGTCAAAGCTATGGTTTTTCCAGTAGTCATATATAGATGTGAGAGTTGGACCATAAAGAAGGCTGAGCACTGAAGAACTGATGCTTTTCAACTGTGGTGTTGGAGAAGACTCTTGAGAGTCCCTTGGACAGCAAGGAGATCAAACTAGTCAATTCTAAAGGAAATCAGTCCTGAATATTCATTGGAGGGACTGATGCTGAGGCTGAAGCTCCAATAGTTTGTCCACCTGATGTGAAGAACTGAGTCACTGGAAAAGACCCTAAAAAAAAAAAAAAGAAAGAAAAGAAAAGACCCTGATGCTGGGAATGATTGAAGGCAGAAGAGGATGACAGGGGACAAGATGGTTGGATGGCATCACCAACTCAATGGACACGAGTCTGAGCAAGTTCTGGGAGATGGTGAAGGACAGGGTAGACTGCCATGCTACAGTCTATGGGGTTGCAAAGAGTTGGACATAACTGAGTGACTAAACAACAATGATATATATGTCGGTATCAGTGGGGCTTACCAGGTGGCTCAGTGGTAAAGAATCTGCCTACCAAGCAGGAGACACGGGTCTGATCCTTGGGTCAGAAAGATCCCCTGGAGAAGAAAATGGCAACCCACACTAGTATTCTTGCCTGGGAATTTCCATGGACAGATGAGCCTGGCGGCTTATAGTCCATGAGATCACAAAAGAGTCAAACAGAATTTAGCAGTTAAAGAACAGCATATGTATAACTGGGTCACTTCGCCATACAGTAGAAATTAACCCAATATTGTAAAGCAACTATATCAATAACATTTTTCAGAAGATCATTGGAAAGAAGTAAATCTGTTTCCCAATATAAAAATGTGATTTGTACAGTAAGTGCCCACTAGTTATCCCTCTTGTGTGTATGCGTGTGTGCTTGGCTGTTTCAGTCATCTCTGCTCCAGGGATCTTCGTGACCCAGGAATCGAACCTGCGTCTCCTGCATCTCCCATGTTGCAGACAGATTCTTTGCCATCTGAGCCACCAGAGGTGGCCTATGCCCACTAATAATAATAAAACAATAAAGGACAGAAAAGACAATATGTGTCTGGCTGAGAAAGTAGACCCTCTCACACCACTGAAATTATGAGTTGAAAAGAATAGGAAAGGAAAACTGCTCTGAATTTGGCATTACTTATGGTCCTCAAGTAATGCCAAATTCAGACTTATTTTCCTGAAGGGCTGCCCAAGTGGCGCTTGTAGTAAAGAACTCCCCTTCAAAAAGTCAGACACAGCTGAAGCGACTTAGCATGAGCGCGATGTTCCTCAAAATAATTCAGAGAAATGGAAATCAAGACTTCATTTTAGCAAAGGTATTCGAAAGAAACCTTAGTATATCTATCCAAAAATTCTTTCAAGTTGAACAGTTAACAATAACCTACTTTCCAACTGGTTGTCTTGTCAATGCTTTAAGACAGAATGTGTCCATAAATCTGTTGGCTCACCAGGAAGGTAATACATTTTTACTACAAAAAAATGAGAAAATTCCAGAAAAAGAGGAAAACAAAATTAATCATCCATTCTTCTGTCACACAACTATAAGTACTATTGATGCTTTGAGCATTTATTTCTAATGCTTTTCATGTTTTCCATGCCTAGATCATATATACGTGTGTGTCCGCACACACACATATTTGGTTACACTATTTACCATATATGTGTATGTACACATATGTATTTATATAATTCTGTGTACATTTAGTACTAATGTAGAATTAGTACATTTAATACAATTAGTACATTTTTTTATCTTACTTTTTGACAACTGAGGTTAGATTATATTTTTGCTACTTCCTTTAGTTTAATGGTTTAAAAAGAAACATTCCAGTGGATATAGCCTATCTTACTTTATCATCCCCTAATAGAGAAAAATTTATATTTCCTTATTTTGAGTTGTGACGCTGGGGTCAGCCCCTTCCTCTCTGAAGACATCTCTGTATTTGGGCTTGTTTCTTCAGAACTCTTTCTTAGAAATGTGATCTCTAGATTAGTAGGCATAAGTATTTTTAGGCTCCTGACATATTAACACCCACATCTAATTTCTCTTTATGATTTTCAACTAGCGTTTAACCCAGGGGCCCTGGTCATTCGGTGACTGTTTGATGAATGGACGAATGACAGAAACATGACCTCAGGCTTCCTGGTCTCTGGCGGGAATTCCTTAATTCAGTTCCTTCCATCCAAAGGAGGCTTGTGCCCCCTTCCAGGGCAACATCGCACCTAACCATCTATTTGTGTGGTTAGAGCAACTGAAGAATCACACTTTCGGTTCTGTGGGAAGGTCTGGGATGGAGAATTCATTAGAGGCAGGGACCAGACAGGAATAGCCCTGGGTGGACATATACCCTTCTCCGGATGCTCACAGGGGAAACCATTTCCTCACATGCAACCAGAGCAAGTCATGTGTTGCAGGCTGACACTTATGGCTGAGAGAAGCTATTCTTGGATATCCTGAGGCCCTGTGGTTGTCGGAGACCCCGAGTTGTGCAACACGGCATGAAAGCACCGCTATGCTTAAAATTTTCCCTCCTCACCCCCAGATTCCACTTCCCCATCTGCCAGGGCTGCCTTTATAAGGAGCCAGGGAGATGGTCTCCCACTGCAGAAGGACAGAGGCAACAGCAAGCACCGAGTCCCCCCTCGGCTCCACTGACCTCAAGCCCACACTCCGACTCGCAGCACCATGAAGGCGCCCGCGGCTGTCCTCGCTGTTCTCTGCGCCATCGCCCTCTGCGGCCAGGTCTTCTCGGCACCATGTGAGTCTGGGTGGTAGCTGAGGGGGTCTGCACGCCAATCTTGTGGCCTTGAGAGCCCCCAAGAGAAAACAGAGAACTTTTTAAGGGTTATGAAACATTTTTAATCTTTTTAAAGGGAACCTCACATCGAGAGCCAGGGTGAGGGAGTTATAGTCCCATTTTACAGACGGCAAAACAGAGACCCAAACAAATGAGTTTGTAAGAGGCAGAGTCCAAATCTGGTTACTGCCCAGTGGTGTGAGTTTTCCACTAACCCTTCCTAGGTCCCCCCAAGAATTTGTCCTTCGGATGTCTTATGAGAGACAGCCAAGCTTTTTTCTCTTGCTGGGTTGTGACTTCTTGCTCAGTCGTTAAGTGGTGTCTGACTCTTTTGCGACCCTGTAGGCTGTAGCCCACCATGCTCCTCTGTCCTGGCATTTCCCCGGCAAAAAAATACCGGAGTAGGGTGCCATTTCCTTTTCCAGAGGATATTCCTGACTCAGGGATTGAATTCACATCTCATGTGTTTCCTGCATCGGCAGGCGGGTTCTTTACAACTGAGCCAAAGGCTAAATGATTTCCTGACCCAAACACAATTTCCTGAAGGGAGAAGTGATAAGAGAGAGCCCACAGTAAAGAGTCAAAAAGGAAGCGGGGTTCAGACAGAAATAAAGGACAGAGACAGGGAAATTTCTAGGCAAAACCCCCAGCGCCTCCCACTGACCGGTCTCCCCGTCTGCACCCTGAAGCGGGCTGTCTCCCTCCCCGAGTCTGCGTCACCCGCTCGCAGATCACGGGTCTCGCCTTTTCATCTGAACTGTGACTCAGGTTCATTCTGTCCCTTCCTCCACAGTTGGCGCTGACACCCCAACGGCCTGCTGCTTCTCCTACGCCGCCCGGCAGCTTCCTCGCAAATTCGTAGCCGACTATTACGAGACCAGCAGCCAGTGCTCCAAGCCTGGCGTCATGTAAGTGCCAGCCTTCCTGCCCGCCTCTGGGGAGATGGGGGATTTGGGGTTGGGGCAGGGGTCGCACCCAAAGGCACAGACAGGCCAAAGGAGCCCAGGCCTCCAGGGCTTATCAAATATGGAGCACCTGTGTCTCTGAGGAGTGACCTGACCTGGCCAGGCTGACAGAGTCTGGGAGGGCTGAGCTGCTCGGGACAGGGATTGGGGGTGGGGGGCCCCCAAGATCTCCCCCCTCTGCATTCCGCAGCGTGTGACCCTTCCGCTCCTCTCCACAGCTTCCAAACCAAAAGAGGCCGGGAGCTCTGTGCCGACCCCAACGAGGACTGGGTCCAGAAATACATCACCGACCTGGAGCTGAATCTCTGAGTGGCCTGGAAGCTTTGAGGAACCCAGTGACCTCAGGGGCCCGACTGGGCAGCAGGGGTCTGAGCCTTGGGGGCACCCCTGCCGTCTCCGTAGCTACCTCTCCTGTGCGCTGGTTGTTGTCAAACAGCCACACTCTGGGACCCACTGAGCCAAAGGCTAAATGATTTCCTGACCCAAACACAATTTCCTGAAGGGAGAAGTGATAAGAGAGAGCCCACAGTAAAGAGTCAAAAAGGAAGCGGGGTTCAGACAGAAATAAAGGACAGAGACAGGGAAATTTCTAGGCAAAACCCCCAGCGCCTCCCACTGACCGGTCTCCCCGTCTGCACCCTGAAGCGGGCTGTCTCCCTCCCCGAGTCTGCGTCACCCGCTCGCAGATCACGGGTCTCGCCTTTTCATCTGAACTGTGACTCAGGTTCATTCTGTCCCTTCCTCCACAGTTGGCGCTGACACCCCAACGGCCTGCTGCTTCTCCTACGCCGCCCGGCAGCTTCCTCGCAAATTCGTAGCCGACTATTACGAGACCAGCAGCCAGTGCTCCAAGCCTGGCGTCATGTAAGTGCCAGCCTTCCTGCCCGCCTCTGGGGAGATGGGGGATTTGGGGTTGGGGCAGGGGTCGCACCCAAAGGCACAGACAGGCCAAAGGAGCCCAGGCCTCCAGGGCTTATCAAATATGGAGCACCTGTGTCTCTGAGGAGTGACCTGACCTGGCCAGGCTGACAGAGTCTGGGAGGGCTGAGCTGCTCGGGACCGGGATTGGGGGTGGGGGGCCCCCAAGATCTCCCCCCGCTGCATTCCACAGCGTGTGACCCTTCCGCTCCTCTCCACAGCTTCCAAACCAAAAGAGGCCGGGAGCTCTGTGCCGACCCCAACGAGGACTGGGTCCAGAAATACATCACCGACCTGGAGCTGAATCTCTGAGTGGCCTGGAAGCTTTGAGGAACCCAGTGACCTCAGGGGCCCGACTGGGCAGCAGGGGTCTGAGCCTTGGGGGCACCCCTGCCGTCTCCGTAGCTACCTCTCCTGTGCGCTGGTTGTTGTCAAACAGCCACACTCTGGGACCCATCCTTAACTGAAATTGCAACTTATTTATATGTACTATTTAATTTTGTAATTTAATTTCAATGCCCCACTGGGGTCTGGGACTGTTTGCTCCCAGAGGTCCCGAGATACCTTTTCGCCGGCCTTCCCCTCCCCCTCCCCTTGCACTTCGGGGACAGTGGAGGGATGGTCGCCAGCTTGTTCCAGGCGGAGATGATGCCAATGCCGCCAGACTGACTTGTGTGTACTTGATGTTTCTCTTCAGTGTCGTGTTCAGCCCAGCAAAATAATAAAGATGCTCTTTTGGAGAGTAAACTAGCTTCGAGTTTGGTTTTGTTTCTCTGGCAAATCAGAATCACTGATTGACTTTCTCTGAAAGACAAACATCATACGATATCATTTATATATGGAATCTAAAAACTGGTACACATTACCTACTTACAAAGCATGACCTGAGTCACAGATACAGAAAACAAACATGATTACCAAGGGGGAAAGGAGTAGGGGATAAACTGGGAGATTGGTATTGATAAATGCATACTACTATACATAAGAGATAACTAGTAAGATCCTACTGTAGAGCACAGCGAACTTTTATTTTGTGTTCTGTAATGACCTGTGTCTGACTCTTTGCAACCCTATGAACCCATCAGGCTCCTCTGTCCATGGGATTTTCCAGGCAAGAACACTGGAGTAGGTTGCCATGCCCTCCTCCAGGGGAATCTTCCTGACCCAGGGATCGGACCTGCATCTTCTGTGGCTCCTGCATCGCAGGCAGATTCTTTATGGCTAGCACCACCTGGGAAGCCTGACTATGTGTATGTGTATGGCTGATTCACTTTGCTATACAGCAGAAACGAACACAACATTGTAAGTCAACTATACTCCAATTAAAAATTAGTTTTAAAAAAAGAATCACTGGTTGAAAGACATAGTACGTTAAAGAATAGGAAGATGGGAAATGGAGGGAAGCTGAGAAAGATGAAGAGGGGGGCTACATACCATAGAGCTACTCTGTTTGACAGTTGTGATTGAACAACGGTGACTGTCATATCAATAAAGGAAGGATGCTGCAGCCATCAAGCCATCACATTACTGCTGCCCTGACAGTGAGCTCTGAGGGGACTCAGGATAGAAACAGGATGCCCAGCATCTAGCCGTCAACCACTACAGTCACCCCAACAGTTCACCTTGAAGAGACTCAGACGGTGGAGGTGTACATCAAAGGAATGATTTCAGTGATCCCACCCTCCTGCCTCTCCCCGTACATACAAAAGGACTGAATTCCTTAACTTGAGATATCTGGTTTTCTTTAAGTAGCAGTTACTTTTGGATGTCCCAGCTACCTGGTCTTTGTTGCAAAAACTCCTTTATGTATATCCTGGCTCCTCACCTTGCCTCTACAGAGCGGTCTCTCCAAGTTATCTGAGATACTGTGTTCTTGGCTTAAGTGCTCAGTTTTGTCCACCAATAAATCTTAACTCTCGACTTTTAGATTGCGCATTTTTTTTTCAGTTAACACTCTGGAAACACATTTCCAGAACACTGAAATTGTGAGTATTTTATGTATCAAATGATAATGTACATTAATGGATACCATTAAGAAGAGTGTCTGTAGTACATATTTACAATAAATCAAACTTTGTTAATAACAATAACTAACATATGAGACTTACTCCAGGCTGAGTGCTTTTTCTGCTGTGTTCATTTGATCTTCACAATAAAATAATATAGTTTAAGTGTTATTTAATGCTCAGTTGATAGAACAGTAAACTGAGGCTGCAGGGTCAGAGAGGTTAAGCAACGTGGACAAGATCACACAGCAAGTAAACAGCACCATTGAGTTCTGAAGCCAGATTCTGATGTAACTAGAGACTTTGCTCTTAATCACTAACCAGGTTATTTCCCCAAATGCGATTCACCTGTATTCAAATCATAAGCAATGATTGTTTAAGCCACTTACATCAGAATTTCCCAGGTATGTCCCAGAGAATTGATATGTCTACCAAGCTTATCAACCATTCCACATGCATGTTAACAGCTGAGAACCACTGAAATAGTCAATAGAATTCACTTCTCTTTTCCAGATGTGCTGTATATCTGCATAGGGTAACAGATATATTGAACATTTTTTTCCTAGAATCCATGCTCCACAAAACAAATGACTAATGTTAAAGAAGAGAAAAACAACCAGCCTACATGTGGAACAGGATTTTGTTTATAGGTTTACTGTGAAAGCTCGGTTATTTAATAGATTGCCGGTTTTATAGTTATAGCTACAAGAAATGTACCCTGAAATAGAGTCCTGTTTGTAGAAGAAGGAGAAATTCAGAAGACTTGTGTGAAACTCAAACAGATATTAACTTTTATGAACCACAATTATTTCATTTTGTTGAAAAATAATCTAATTTTCATACCCAAATTAGCTTAGATTTGTAGTGATCAAACTCTCTAGAGTACAATTCAACATTACTATTAAGCAAACATTAAGATGCCTATACTATTGGACCAAAATATTGTTTGCACTGATTCCATTTCTAAGAATCTATTTTGAAGCAACATAACCAAAGGTAAGGAATATACAGACACAATGATATTCTTTGCAGCATGGTTTACAAACATCAAACAAATGTAAATAACCACTTAAACCAGCAGAAGACAAAATCAGTAGAGAAATGAGATGTCCACCAATGCAGTTTTCAGTAGTTAGTAAAAAAGATAACACACATCTATATCTATGGAAATTGTCCTGTTTAACTCTAGTAAATGCAAGGATACTCTACACATATGCTACAAAACTATACATATAGGACAACATTACTTTTACTTTTAGCAACTAATAAACACATATTTGCAAAGGCATATTTGGAAAGATACATATCAAATAGCTAACTATGGTGGTTTCTTAGAGGAAATGGAATTTTTATTCTTCCTTCTTTAAAGGAATGGAGACTATTTTCTGTACTTTTTTAAAGTAGAAATTTTTATTTTTTTATTTTAAAGTTTTTATTTAATTTGTTACAAATTGCTTCTGTTTTATGTTTTGGTTTTATGGCTGTGAGACATGGGGGATCTTAACTCCCTGACCAGGGATCGAACAAACCCACACCCCTGTACTGAAAGGCGAAGTTTTAACCACTAGACCACCAGTCTGTCATTTTGAATTTGGTTTATTTTTTGATAAACATGTATTGCTCACCTTTCCAGTTTCATCTTTGATCATCAGATACCCTTTTATGCATCAAATCATAAGGTACAGTAATGGATACCATTAATGGGTACATCCATGGGTGGATGGAATATCACCCATCTATCAAAACTACTTTCTGGCTGGGACCCTAAGTTGAGGAATATCACCCATCTATCAAAACTACTTTCTGGCTGGGACCCTAAGTTGACACAGAGATAATAGAGCTCAGCTGAGCTCAGAGTCTTGATGTCATAATGGCTTTTTAAAAAATTAATTAATGTATTTATTTATTTATTTTGGTTGCACTGGGTCTTCATTGCTGCCTGCAGGCTTTCTCCTAGTTGCAGTAAGTGGAGGCTACTCTTCATTGCAGTGCACGGGCTTCTCATTGCAGCTGCAGAACACGAACTCTGGGAGGCACAGGCTTCAGTAGTTGTGGCCCACGGGCTCAGTTTCTCTGTGGCATGTGAAATCTTCCTGGACCAGGGATCAAACCTGTGTCCCTTATTTTGACAGGTGGATTCTTATCCACTGTATCACCAGGGAAGTCCTCATAATGGCTTTCATCAAATGAGAACAAAGCAAGGAACAAATCCTTTCACTCAAGGCTTTCCTATCACACATACACACACACACACATGTGCACACATATGGAGCTCCTTCCACAAAGCATTTTACCATCCCCTTCCTTTAAGAAATGCCCCGTTCCCCTAAAACTGAACTGGTCAACCCATGACAAGTGTGAAGATTCTATCAGGAGAATGAGAGGAACAGCTTTGTCCCCAAAGAAGCAAGGGAAGTGTCACCATTTCTTTGCTGTTGGCTTCCAGCATCTTAGGACAAACAAAATCTGCTCACTTCTGCTGAACTGCTTCTCACGGCCTGGAAGCCCAAAGGCAGACAGGAGCACAGTTGTGCCCACTATTCCCTCAATATAAGTGTTGTGAACAAAGTGTGTAAGAACAAAGAGAATTGAGTGCAAGGAGAACTGAGAGCATGGGAACTGCACTGTTAACCAACGAATAGGGCATTTCAGAGTCCAAGGCTTGGCTGAGATCCTTGGTCAGCCTTTCTGGTTGACCTCCCTGGGGATTGTCCTCCTTGGACACACACGTGTGCTGGGGAGGAGCCCTTTTCCAGGTGGCAGCCAACTTCTTGACCATGTGAATTAGAAGCCTAGAGTTTGCCCTAGGTGTTGAGCAGCTTACAGCTATTTTGGAGTGATCTTGTAGTTTCTCTGGTAAGTAACATCTTTCTGATAACAGCAGGCTTCTGATCTCTTTGCTTCTGATCAATTCCATGAGCTCAATAACCCAAAAGACAGAGCTTGTCTAGTCATATATCTTGCATTTTACCTGGGGTTGAGAACATGTGTCTCCTAGCACGGCCCTCAAAACTACAGTCACCCCTACACCCCTACCTCTAGCCGTGGGGTGGGAGACCTCTGCTTTTATCTTGGCCCCTGCAGAGACGGGGCAACATGCAGAAGTGATGAATATTTGACGCCCAAAGCTACATCTTACCTGTTCCTTTATAGGCAGGTGATTGTCTACTTCAAATAAGCAAATATTTCACAGGAGAGGTGAGGAGGGGGACTTAGGACCCAATCAGAGCCCAGATTTCTCTCCTGTTAAGTCTCTCACCTCCTTGTCTCTATTCGCATTAACTTTTTTTAAAACACTTTTTATTTTGTATTGGGGTAAAGCCTATTAATAATGTTGTGATAGTTTCAGGTGTACTAGAGTCAGCAGAGTGACTAATGTATTCATTCTCCCAAATTCCCTTCCCATTTCTTGCCTGGAGAATCCCCACGGACAGAGGAGCCTGGCAGGCTGCAGTCCCCGGGGTCACAAAGAGTCGGACCCGACTGGGCGACTAAGCACAGCACACACATATGTCCCTCCCTCCTAAGCCTCCCTCCAACCCACCCCACATCCCCCCTCTCTAGGTCGTCATGTTACATGAATTCTTGTTCATTTTCTTCAGGGAAGAAAGAGGCTGTGTCTTCACTGGAAAAAAAATCACTCGGTTCTCTCAGATTTGACTGACATGTCGGAAATCCAACTCCTAACCATTTGCTGTGGCTGGGGGGATGGGTTTCATTGATCTGCTTAAACTAATTAAG